AAGAGCTTCATGTATTTGTAGTTCAGAGTTAAGGGGTGCTTGAACTTGGCCCAGAGATCAAATCTGGAGGTAAAATGCAACCTGGAAACAGAGTGAGACCATATTTTTACACTATTCGTTCTATAATCTCAAGAATATACATTTGTTTTACTTAAAATGGGCTTTATGATTGTGCATTGAAATGGTTACATATCTTTCTGCAGGTATTTCACTTGCCCGGATAGAGCAATTTCAGTTTCTAAAAGTTTAGTTAGTCTACAAAGCAAACTCAGGAAACCAGAGAATATGACATAAAGGAATTAAATTTGTGTTATACAGTTGTAGGATAACACAGATTATGCTATCCTTGCGGGCACGTACTAGTACCTTGGTTTTTGAGTCACTTCAGTGCATTTTACAGTAAAGTTTCCAGAATGTTTTCCTAAATAGATGTAAAAATATCGAAAGTTTTAAGCAGATTTGACCAGGAAGTATTATTCATGTATGTCTATTCCACTTTGGCTAAAGTCTAGACTACTTTTTGCATTGCGTAATGAGAAGATATTTCTTCCAGAGAAAGACAAGTTCTTGTTTTATATTAGTTGGTTTTCCATTGCAGGATTTTTATGAATAATTACCATGCATGTAAAAGTCCTGGATAACAAAGTAGACTACCTTGCATTAGTAAAGTGTAGACCAGAACATGCTGACACTATCTTGTGATTTGTGTAGCACCTCCAGCCCCTAGCTGATTTACAGAATTCAAACAAGAACTACAGAAAATTATCCTTCCTCAGACAACCCGAGAGCTGCATAAATTCACCACTGTAGTGGCCAACACCGTGTAAATAATTTAGTTATTGGAATTGAGTCTACCAAAGCAAACCTAGTAAAAACACAATCAACCCAAAGTTAAAGTAAATACTATTCCCTCACCTTAATGCCTTCAAACTTAACCGTCAGTGAGCTTCAGAGCAGCAGCTTCGTGTGCTAAATGCCTGCCAGTGTTCCTGGAGAAATCCATCCCCAAAATTAGTCCCTGTGACAAAAAAACAATTGTCCTTTTGTGGTTATTCTGTGGCCTGGTAGTGGAGGGCTACATTTTGTAAAAGTAGCCTGTACAATATGTTAGATGATTAGTTTTTAAAAGCTTGTGTTTTTCTGATCTGATTCTTGATAAAGGCTTTTGTAGAACTCTTTAAGAAAGGCATTTATCTGTTGTTATTTCTTAAATGAAATTGCCAAAGACCACGTAATTAAGTCTCTTTGCTTTTAACTAGATCTGTTAGGCTACCATCAGGTTCTCATTGAAATCAACTGAATTTAAGAGTTGTAAAAGCTAAGGGTTTAGATAATGAATCTCAGTGGACTGTCTTTAATATAGAATAACTTGATGTGTCATGTAGATCATTATGTTTTTCTCCATGAGATCTCCAGTCTGCTAATGTCTCCCTTGTCTTAAAGTTTGCTTTTGTTTGTGTTTGCTGATCTTTGGCTGGTCATTTGTTTTCAGGTTGCTTTTTATATTGCTCTTTGAGATGTATTGTTTTTTTCCTACTGTACTGTGTGCCGAGAGAGCTGGGATGAGAACAACAACAAGGGTGATTGTGCTGGAGTCGCTGAGCCTGTTCTGTTAACCTTAGTGCTCTTTGTGCTTGATATTTCTGATGGAAAACATGGGCATAATGCAAATCTGCAAAGCCCTGGATCCTGTAATTCACTAGAGTTTTAAATGGATCAGACCAATTTTCAGCTGTTTTCCAGTTTTTGAAGATGGAACACAAAAGCATCACTATTTCTTGTACCACAGACTGAGGAGAAAATATCGTAAAAACACTGTTCATGTTACATAGGAACTCCACCATTGGACAGGGTCTCTTATTTGTACAAAATGGCCTGAAACTGAAAACTGATATATATATATATATATCTTTAATGAAATACCGAGCTCTCTGGTGGAAATTTTCCTCACTAGTGTTTTGGAAAATCCTTGAATCTTGCCCAGTAACTTCTCACCGCCAGGCCTCCAGATCCAGTGGCTGTGCTGAGAGGACAGTGGCTTATGTGGTCTTGTCCCACCTAGCCTGTGGTATCTAGACATTATTCAGAGGCAGCTGTCTATGATTACAGATCTTTCTAATGTCATGGGTCACATCACCAGGAAAGTGGGAAGGTTCAGGATGACAAACTAAAAGTATTCTGTCACTGTCAACCCCATAGGATCAAAGGGAAAAAGAACTTCTATCTGTTTTGGCAAATGGTGAAAGAAAGAGGAAAAGCACAGGCTGTTAGGTTAACATAGAAAGACAGGAGTGACCTCCACAATCTAGATTAGTTTATTTTGCTGTGGTATTTTGCATGCTGAAATCACTTTTGTCAGGGAGCCTCAAAGCACTCTACGAACTAAGTAATTACAAGTTGTAACACCTTGGTAAGATACAGGCATCCTGTAGCAGGGTGACTCACAGAAAGACGTTGGGTCGCTCAGGTGAGGCAGTGCTGCGTAGCTCGGAGTGCCGTGACTTTGGTGAGCACTACATGTACAGTCACAGCGGCGTGAGCAGCTCATGGTCACCGCGACAGCGCTGCCGACAGGAAGGGCTTGAGACCCAGGCCAGGGGATCCAAGTGCATGAGTCATAGAAAAAAGTCTGAAAATAAGAAAATTTAATACTGGTAAAGAAGTCTGGAATATGATGATCTCTGTCTAAGGCTTGAAAATATTTTCAGTTAGGGTGAGGTACTCCTGGAATTCGTTTTCAAGCAACTGAGAGAGTTTTAAAGTGGTGTTTGTGGCACTCTTGAAGAAATTAAATTGAATACTGAAGCAAATGTTTTCTTTTCTCTTCTAACCTGCACTAGCAATGTGCACACTACATCTGCTTCAGCAATCGCCAGCGTGCGATCACCACTGACTGCTGTGGCCCAGTGTTAATCAAGAGCAGGGAATTTAGCTTTCACAATACAATCAGTTCTTGTTCTCAACTTCTGAGAGTTCATAATTCAGTCTTACTGTCATTCCTTTCTTCTTCCGTGCTCTTTCATGAAAGGTAAACCTGAAGGAAAGCAACCAGAGTCATTAACTGTTGGAAACTTTAATGTGCTACAAAACCAGAATTAGAAGTGATAATGAAATTTCCACTGCTGAAAGCAGACTCTGCTAACTGATGTATGTAGTGAGAAAGGTGGCCATATAACCAATAAAAATAAGAACCATGTTCATTTTTAATATGCCTCATTCATCTTTGCTTGAATTGGCAGAACACCAAATTAGAGTTTAAGTTAAGATGTTCCTTTTAATTTTCAGTAATTAAAATAAATATATGTTTAACCATTTCCATTAGACTCTGTTAAAATCAGTATTTTTGATGAAATATCTTCCAAGAAAAATCTGCCAAACTGAATAACATTTGTAAAACACTCTGGAGAAAATAAAATGAAAAAACAGGGTTCAATTTGTCAAAAGCAACTCCATGGTAAATAACTTTACTTCCATGAATAGACCCAGTTGTTACTAAATGAGCTTTTTCCCTAGGAGCTAAGTAATGATGAGCAGGGACAACCTAAGTTGGGAAGCTGATAAGATTAGCATTCCTGGCTCTCTCCCTTATCCCTGCTGTGCATAATCATCGGGGCTAGAAATCAAGTGGCTTTGGAAGTTCGCAAAGCGGTCTCAGTTCGCAGGCCAGCGACGCGGATTCTTGCAGCCGTGAACTCTTGCCATTCGTAAAAGACTTAAGAGACTCCTGTACTGAAAGCTGTTTCCCAGGTCCTTCACAGTAGGCGCAACACTGCTTAATCAATGAGAGGTCAATAGTTGAATTGAGGGAAAACAGGAGTGAGCCCAGAAGGATTATTGCCACAGAGGTCTTCAGCTTAGCAACAAATGGTCTGTCATAACTTACCTTCTGACAAAGAAGAAGATTCTCTGTTTTGGTCCAATTTTTTTTTCATTGATAAAAAACTGTAGCTGAAAAAAAAAAAGTTTCATTTTGCTGAAGAAAACAGAATGGGCAGTATTGTTGTCTTTTCCAATTTCATTAGCAATTTGGGAAGTGCTTTCTAAAGCTGTAAGATGAGCAAGCACTTGAATAAATTTCATTTCAACATGGTTACCTGATGAAATCAAATGTTACAATGAAATTTTTTATGAAACATAAATTCTGCGTTTTGACCAAGTTGTGAACTTCAGTCACTTATGGCAGGCAGATGCTTGAAATATAAAAGTAAAGAGTAGTAATTGTAGCAGAAGAGTGTTTTTGTTAACAAACAAAATGTAGAATTGATCGAAGAGGAAAGGAAAATATCGAGGAGGAAAGGAAAAAAAAAACAAAAAAACAAAAAGAGAGTTTCATGTGAAGGATGAAAGCTTTCCAAAGAGCTGATATAGAAGCAAGGAATGACATTGTGAAAGGGGAGAAAAAAAAAAAAAAAAGGAATTGAGGAAAGAGGAACGAAAGCAGAACAAAGCGAAATAGATGGTAATAAAGCAGACTCATATTCTGAAGATGGTAAACTGAGAAAATGACTGGACTGTATAGAAATGAAGATATTTAATAGTCAAGTATATTAAGTATCTTGAAAAGGGAAAGGAACTGGCAAATAACACAAAAACTAGCAGATAAACGTAAATAGTGATATGAAATCAAAGAAATGAGGCATACACACAATTCTAGAAGAAAGAAAGCCAAACCACAGAGCTTTGCCAGGGGATCAAACCCTGGAATATTCATCTAGCCAAGAATTGTGAGGGCTTGTTTTATTTTTGCTTTCTTATTCCTGCCAGAAGATACAAATATATCTATTTACTTAGGGGAAAAAAAAAAAAAAAAGTATTGCAATACAGCCAATTTCTCCTGGGGAAAAAAGAATGCTATAAAAAAAAAGTCATAACATTTTTTCACAGTATATCTAGGGATGCTGAAAGTGTTTGGTAAAATGATGAAGTCTACAAGGTCTCCCAAGGCTGATTGAAAGAGAAAGGATGGAATCATTATGGGCCATAATCTGATATGTTTAGTCCCACTGAAATGAATGAAACTGTTGTCAGTAATCAATTTGAGTCAGGAAGTAAAGATCTGGACCCAGGATAGACAAGCATACTGATAATGAAGTGCTTGCTTTTTCATAACTTTGTGAATAATGCCATTATCCAAACCCTCACAAAGAGGCACAAGAATGCACTTCCCAGTTTGGGGAGAAAAACATTGGGGGTTAAGGAAGTTGCATGTATGGTGATTGCATGCCAGCACCTAACCATGCACCATGAATCACTTTGTATAGTTGCTAGCTTTTACCAGATGCTGCAGAAATTCATCTATCTTTATAATTAAAAAAATCTCCCCATATTTGCACACTGTTCTATACAAATAGGGGCTGTATCTGATCTGAGCTTTAAGTGCACAGAGTTTGGCAGGTCCAGCTGTCAGCTGTGCCGAATTTAGGCCAAATGGCACACGGAGCACAGCTCCTCTTTGAGCTCTGATTCCTCTGCAAGGTTCTGTCTGACAAGGTTTTCTCCTGCCCACACTTTCCCTTATATCCTCAAAGTGAAAGAGGAAGCGGGAGGTATTACACCAAATAAATTTCATACAAGCGAAGCTAAACATTGGCAGGTTACGGACTCTGTGCGTCAGTGCTTGGAGCGCAGTGGAAGTTTTTAAAACAGTCTCTTACTCTTTCCTCCTGTTTTGCCTTTTAAATGTTCAATGATCTTTGACTGGCCACAAGTCCTTTGAAACTGGCACAGGGCTTTTGCTTATGTCTTTATTTTGACTACTCAAATTTGTGAATACATCATTCCACTTAATCTACATGCATCAGAAAATAACTCCATTGGCAGAACTAAACCCTTCATTTGAGGTGGCTGTAGGTTTTCCAACAGCAAGAAATATTGTGTGTATCTCATTTCCCCTCTTTTCCTATCACTACAAAACACAGATGTGAGTTTTAGCTTTGGATCCTGCCATACAATACTGCCTGGTGCATGGAGATGGTCTCTCTCTAGGGTAGTGCTCTAATCGAGCTATATTTTTTTCAGTTATTCAGTGAATGATATTATTATTGTATTACTAATGGATCTTGACTAAAATAATGCCAAAGTATCTGGAACTACAGGCATTTGATGCCCCACCTGTAGGTAGACTATCTAGAAGTAAAAGCAAAATCTAAATATTTTCAAACTGCTTTTGTGAGCAGTTTTGTCAGAGAAATTGCTACATTATGATGAATAACTTCTTTTATCCACTTTAAAGGGATGAAAGGCCAAAGGAGATTGACCTTGACAGAGCACAGGCAGCTGAGAGGAGCAGGATGTTCTTAAATAAAAGCTGTCACTTAACCTTTGCATAGTCTCCTTTGCGCAGTAGAAGAGCTGCTCTTAAGGAAAGCAGAGGATCAGCTGCAGGTGAAGTTTGACCAGGAGTGATATGAGGTACCATATCAAGCACTATGCATATACTTACTGTATATAGATACATGTGTTGCCTGTTGCTTCTTTTAAGTGCACAAAGAGAGCATCACAATTTTACAGATATGGAAAACACGAAACTCTACCACACTGGTGGATTTCCTGAAGTCTCAAAGATAAATATGCACCCGAAGGTTACCCCTGGATTTTCATCCCTGCCACTCTCCAGCTTAATGTTGAGCATGACACTATAATTGCATGGGCATTTGATCAAACAGCAGCTCTGAGATTTGAATATCTCATGTCCATAGCTGTGCTATACGTGTCAGAGCTAATGCAGGAGGATACAGGAAAGGTAAATTCAGATGTAAAGGAGGCAGGTAAGAGAACAGTCTGTTCCGTTCTTGGACCTGGGAAACCAGCTCCTAGGAGAAATTAAAATTCATGTAAATTAAAGCTCTGCCAACATATGTTGGCATGTCAGAAATCAAGGACTGGGAAGTACCTGCACGATGGTGGCTTTAGGTAAGGAGCAAAATGGGGAGGAATGCAGTTGCTGCGTGCATGTGGACAGATATATGAGAGCTGTGAGCTGAATCTATTTCTGTGATCTATGCAATGGTCAAAGATTTCTGCCCCTGTTAAGACCAGCCTTCATTGGCTCAGAAGCTTTGGATACACCCCAGTAATCCTGTAATCCCTGTAATTTTAAGGGGGAGGTATATGAGATTACTCACACAAGGTGAGAATGGATAAACCCCTTCATTTAGCAGAGCAGGGCTGATCCCTCATTTTCACTGTCACAGCACATCTTGTCTTTTATTTCGAGTGTGTAAAATGAATCAAATTATATCAGAGCAAGATGTTTTTTTCTCACAACAGCAAGTTGCCGGCTCAGTGAGGTTACAGCACAATATTACGTTACACAACACGTGTTTCTGTGGAATCCTAAGGGAAAACACAGTTATATCATCTGCTAGCAGTCAGCAGGCACATGTGGCACATAAGTCACTCTAATTGTATTAAGTAAGGACTGCAGGAGTGGCAAGAGTTGTGATTAACACATATGTGCAGCCCATGCAACTTGTATCCTTTTCCATGTAAAAGGTAGCCGTGAAGTACCTGGTGATACACAGGGGTCGGTTATGGTAGATTGACTGTAGAAGCTCGGTGCCTTGTAGGACCCTTGTTTAAACCTCCTCGGGTGTGAATGCTTCGTGTGACATGAGTGCCCTGCTTGGGGAGGCCCCGCTCCACTGCCAGCCCTGTGGTGCGCGCCAAAGGCCGCGCTAGCGCCCGGCAGCTGAGGGCAGGCGGGATGAGGGCTCCAGGGCTCCAGGGGAGGAAGGCAGGCAGTTGGGGCCCTCTCTGCAGCGGGCACCTTGGCTGGCACCAACACCACTAAGTCTGGGCAGGTCTGACTGCTGGGCAAAGGGCTGTTGCTCTCCTGGGAGCTTTTGTGCGCGAAGGACAGAGATTCGGAGATCTCCAAAAGGAGAAGAGATGAGGCAGAATTCTAGAAGCATTTTGCCTTATTTAAAGAAGTTCACTTTTTTGTTTTTTTTTTTTCCTCTAACTAAAGAAGGAAGTCAGTCTAAATTAGGGCATAGTTAACTTTAATATAAGATTGAGAGGCCAACTGTCATGTAACTAGTCATTCTTCCTGCAAAGGCAAAAGATAAAGGAATAGCATATACAAACTACCTCCTTTAGCAAAGAGAGAGTGTTATACCCCAAGCCTGGTCACAGCATGGGAAGTCTCTAAAATTCTTCCTCAGGACACGTCATGTAATACATTCAGAAACACTAGGGCTTTGTCATCATCAGAAGGTTTGTGGGCTGTGTTTGTCCTACTGTCATGCTAATGATATCTGCTAACGACAATTACATCTGGTATTCCCCTCTGGGGTTCACTTTACTCATATTAGTCACATTGTAATAATGTAGAAGTAGTGTGAGAGATGAATCCATCCCATTCTCTTTTAAAATATGTGAAAAGTAAAATCATAAAAGCATTCGTCTTCCCTAAATTAGGCAACTGCTTCTCCAGAGCCATTACAGAGCCTCTGTTCAGGCCCACATCTCTGTGCCAGTGCTAAAGCTGCAAAGCGAGTCCTAGCAAACAAGAGCATAACCTGCTTCTGAATGCGTATGCCAAGATTCCCCCAAGTTGGGCTGGCACCGCATGAAAGAGGAACCCCATTTTACCTCATGACAAAACTATGAGGAAACATGCCTATCTTGTTCACAACAGGCCTCAGAAATGCCCAAAGACTCATTTCTCCCAGCATGATGAAATGTAGATGCAACACCAGTGAAAACTGACTGTGCATCAGCCCTGAAATATTCACACCTCATTGAAGAGCTAAATGGGGACAGCAAGCTAATCACTGTGACATGGCCTAGCTCGGTTTGGGGGGAAACTCTATGAAAAATAATAAGACAGGGTGGGGTCTCAAGGTTCACTTGCAGCTCGTGGCAAGCTTCATGTATGTCCCCTGGATGTATATATTTGCGGAGCTTTCTTT